TACCCCTAGTGCCCTAACTTCATCTTTAGATTTTCAAAGCTTAAAATTGTCATTTTAATATTTTGGTTTGTTGCCCTAAATTTTCTTTTAAATCTCCATTTTGATTCATATTTTTATGATTTTATTTCATTTTTTATAATTATTTTTCATAATAACTATAAGTTTCAATGGAAATTAAGCATTTTGGTGTGAGGGAGATCCTCTAATTTTGGAAAAATCACGGAATGTCCCTAATGATAGAAGAAACAATCCCTGAAAATTTCACATTTTTATGTCTTACATTTTATTTCTTAAATAATTAAATATAGTGTTTAACTAATTAAAAATTAATTATAAGCTAATTTTTTTATTTTTATTATTTTCTCCTTTATTCACTAAGTTCAGGTGTATTTTTATTTAATTATTGTGATTATTATTCAGAGAGAGATGAATTTTTAAAGTTTATTTAATTTTCATGTATTTTTTTAATTAAGAAAATCCTAAATTTCTTACTTAACCATGCAATGCTAACTCGATCCTCGAACGCTATAAAATCTCATGCGACACTATGTGATTCGTCGTGCTTTCCATGCAAATGGCTGAGGTGGCTTCGATCTCGTGCTCTTCTTTCTGTAGTTCTATGATCTGGTTCAATCTCCACCGCCAGTTTCTAATACATGACAATGGATGATATCGGTTTATCATCCCAGTGGGATAGAGAACCGAGATCCGTCTAGGATCAAACCCTAAGATCTCGGCCTACACAAAACCAATTTGTATAGGATTTGTTTCTATAGCTTCATCTAAGTGAGATGAACATATCTATAAGGTTAAGTGGACATGAATTGTTGGTTATCTTCATAAAGGAGCAAATTGAGAGTTATTTCAATGAGTTTGAACCCATACCATATCCTAAGAGGTGATTCCTGATGTGTCCTAAAGCATGCTAAAGTTCCTTTTTGCACCTTTTTTATGAATGAAATTACACTTTAAAGAAAGGTGTTTTTTTGTTTTTCTTGCAAATATAACAAGTAGGGCATAAGGAGTAAAGCGGAGCTAAAATGGAGTAAAGCGGAAGAGAAACAGAGCAAATTGGGGAGCAGTAGACTAACGCATGTCAGTCTTTGGGCGCGAAGGTGTTCCACCAAAGCACCTTAGCGCCAACTTACTGAACGCCTAGGCGTCGGAAGCCACCCAGGCAAACCGAGATGTCGACGCCTAGGCGCCAGCTCTATGGTGCCAAGGCACTGGCAACTTCCTGGACAATTTTCTATAGTTACTTTAGCACAATTTGAGGAGTTATGGGGTGAATTTAGGCGGTTCAAGAGAACATTGCAAAACATTTTGATGCCTTGGGAAGTTCAAGAAGGCAAAGGATTCATAGTGTAAAGTTAGGGTTTTGTATTTTTCAATTTCTTAAAGAAATTGGAGAGGAATTTGGAGAGAAATATGTAAGGGGATATACCTAGCATTGCAGGGAGCACTTGGAAACCTTTTGGGGAGGAATCTTCATCTCTTCTCTCAAGGAAAAAACTAAGAAATATGTTCTATATTGTCTTGTACAGTTTGTAAACACAATTCTAGTGAATTTGTTTTGTTTTAAGAAGATAATTTGTAGTGTTTTCTTCATGCACTGTGAGTAGATATTTCTTACCTTTCTCTTGTGATGAATAAGTTGGATGTGTAGAATGTTAGGATGCTCATATAATTGATCTTTAAACATTAATGTGATGAGTATTCTTTAAAGCTTAATTTACTTTTCATTTTGGGCATATAGATTGTTAAAAATTATGGTGATCCATTATGACTTGGAAGAGTGATGGAGAAACAATTAGAGTATTCACGTTGACTATAGGTTATGAAGCAAAATTAAACTATAGGAAGATGCAAATAGATAGAAAAATAGTCCTTGATGGGTTCAAATTGGGGTTTAAGATATTAAATCAAGTTTAACCAAACTACTTTATGCACTCGAGAGAGGGCAAAGTAGAGAATTGCTCCTATTCGTCACTAGTCACATCTACAATGTGAAGTATATATTCCTAAACAATCACTTATATCATCACAATAGATGGGTTACTTTTATATCTTGATAATCACTGAAACAATTAAGTTAGGTAGGTTTTAACATTAGAACGAATTGAAGTAGGGTAGGAGTAGTTGGTATAACTTTTACTTAATCATAATTCTAAACTAAGACATAAAAGTAATAGACTATAACTTTTTTTAAGGGATTCATTACCTCACTCTCTGAGGGATTAATAATCCAGACTCAATAGAGCCCTATATTACTAAAACAATATGTATACTTGTGTGAGAAACCTCAGTGTGCAAGAGCACTTGATTTTAAGAACTCAATCAAGTTGCTAAGTAGTGGATCACGTTTATGGTGTTGTTATCGAGGACTTACATTATTGTGATAATAGCTGGGGTGAATCAAGTTTCTGGCACCATTGTCGGGGATACGATGGTAAAGAACTTTAGGAGAATTTTAGTTGAACCTATAAGACTTAGATTTGAAAATTTGTATTGTAGTTCATTGTGTAAGTGTTTGTTTGTTTGAAAAAAAAAATAAAATAAAGAAAATAAAAAAGTTATTTTTGAGTGTTTGTCTAGCATTTTCGTGATAAACTTACTAATTGAACCTTTAGTTGTGTATGCATAATGCATTAGCTGCAGGATTTGTACCCTACGATTTAGAACTAGAGAGTACTATTAAAAAAATTAGAAAATAGAAAAGACTTCATGAACTTATAGAAGAAATGGTGAATATTCAATAAAACAATATAGATGATCAAATGTCAATTAATGAACATAACATGCATAAACCATTAAGGGATTAAGTTCATCCTACGACAGATGAAATTCACTTAAGTATTCAAACTCCTGTCGTAGAAGCTAACACATTTGAATTGAAACTTATTATTATCCAAATGGTGCAGAACAATCAGTTTGGGGGAACCCCGTCTGAGGATATAAATTTACACTTAGCAAGTTTTCTAAAATTTTGTGTTACATTTCGTTATAACAATATTGTTAGACTTAAGCTTTTTCTCTTTTCCTTAAGGAATAAAGCTAAAATGAGGATAAACTCCTTAGCACCTGGATCGATTAGTACTTGGGGTGACTTTACTCAAAAAATTCTAGACAAGTATTTCCCACCTTCAAAAACTGGTAAATTTAGAAATTATACTACTTCATTTTGCAAGTATGAAGATAAGTCGATTTAAGAGGCATGAGAATGATTTAAGGAATTTCTTAGGAAGTGCCCACATCACACTCTACTTGATTGGTTATTATTCAATTTTTTTACAATGATTTAGTGGGACCCTTAGATCTATTATTGATGCTACCACTAGTGGTTCACTCATGTCGAAGCCATTTAATAATGCTTATTCTTCGATTGAAGAAATGGCTACAAAAAATTTCCAATGGCTTTCTGAAAGAGTAAGGTTGCTAGTGTGCATGATACTGATGTCAATCTTCAAATTCCTATTACTCCCAATTCCCTTTGTTAACCCAACACCAAATGCTTGATAATAATAAGACTTCAAATAGACTCTGTAAAACAAAAAAATATATTGAATTTATCCAAAATTCTATCCTATGCCCAAGACACAACCTTCTATTCACGAGTTGTGAAATCCTCACACTTACACAAATCCACATGTCAAGAATTTCAAGCTTTGCAACAATAAAGTCCTTGGAAAAAATCTTCAAATTCCTATTACTCCCAATTCCCTTTGTCAACCTCACACCCCCCCTAACACCCCCCCTCCCCTCCACCAAATTAAACTCTACTTGGCTATCGTTCAACATACAAAACAACGTGTCATCTAAACGACGCAATTGGATGCTACAAAGCAAGGCTCATCGCACAAGGCTTCGATTAAGAAAACAGAATTTGATTATAAGGAAACATTCAACCCAATGGCTAAGCTACCCACCATAAAAATTCTTTTAAAATTTCCTCTCCATAACAAGTAGCAGTGCTTCAACTGATGTGTCCAACACTTTCATCATCGCACTATTGACAATGCTGCATACATGACTTAACATCAAGACTTTGAAGTTATTCAACATCAAAATTTTGTTTGCCTCCTTCAAAAGCAGACCCCAAAAAAATTGTATTCAATCTTCTTCAATCATGAAAAAAATATTGATTTTCATTTAAGTATTGTAGACCCTTCTCTTATATATATAAGAATAACACAACTTGAATATTCCTTTTACTCCATCTACATCGATGATATCATCCTCACAAGAAATGATGCAACCACCATTTCAGCTCTCGTTTAGGATCTACAACTTGCTTTCCAACCAAAGGAACTTGGTTTGATAACAAATTTTTTCGATGGACAAATCAATATCAGCACTTTAAGTTGTTTTCTCATTATAACTCCCTACATTACTTTGCTTCTCCAACACTTCGGCATGCCGGACTACAAGCCAGTCTTAACTCCTCCCTCAAAACTCAAACTCAATCCCTCCTCTTAGTAATTCTTTCTCAATCCCACTTACTATCGTCAACTAGTTTGTTCGCTACAATTGCTTACAATCACTCAGCCTAATTTGTTATAAACCTAATAGGCTAATATATGCATAAACCAATCATGTGCCACTATCAACTCATCAAAGCCTTCTCCAATATTTGAAAGGCACTATAGCTCATAGTCTTTCCCTCTCCAAAAGAAACCTCACATTTAACACCTACTCCAACTCTAATAGGGCAGGTAATACAAAAGATTACAGATCTACAATGGGCCATTGTACATTCCTTGACAATACTACGATCTCTTGCAGTGTTCAAAAACAAGAGGGTGGCTTCCTCATTCATAGAGGCGAAAAAACCGGGCACTTACATCAGCAACCCCATATCTTTCAACTCATGTCGGAGCTGATTTGCTAAGAGTAGAGATGACAAACTTGCTGCCTCAGCGATAATCATGTCATGAATATAAACAATAAGCAAAATAAAACTATAAGAGAAGTGAGAGAGAAATATCTTTAAGAATGGATGATTAGTTCAAAAAGAATGAATAATGTTACTGAACTTTATGAGCTATGCTTGAGTCCATTTGAGCTCATCATAGCTGACAGACCTTATCCAAGGGAAGAATCTCAAGACCCCTTAATGCACCACATTACAACTTCAACACTAAACCACAGCATTTTGTTTCTTCTTGTATACATAAGATCGTGCAAAGTAGAGGTAGATGATCAGTCCTACGAAGCTGAGACCAGCAAGAAACCAGTAGAAATAATCAAGATGAGCGCGGTTAAGATTATCACAGAACCAGCTCTCTCCACTCTTACTAGTTGCCTTGTCGATGGCGGCAATGAGAAAGCTACTGATAAAACTTCCAATACCAAATATGCTCATGTAGAGCGCAAGCCCAAGGCTCCTCAATGCATTAGGAACCTGATCGTAGAAGAACTCCTGTAAGCCGACCATCAAAAAAACCTCAGTGATACCGTAGAGAATGTATTGAGGAGCCAACCACCAAAGACTCATCGGAATCGTTATGTTTGGTTGATCGATCAATCCATATTCTTTAGAAGTTTTCAATCTTTTGACTTCAACTAATGCAGCTATTACCATGGATATTATTGAAAGGGTTATTCCAATGCCAATCCTTTGGAGCTGCGTGATTCCTGTAGGAATCCTGGAAAAGTTTCTGGATACAGGAACTAGGATTCGATCATAGATTGGAATGAAAGCGACAACGGATATGCTGACGAAGCTCTGCAAGGCTGCAGGTGGAATTTGGAAGCTTGAACCGATTCGACGGTCGAGGGTGCTCCCTTGTTTGGTGAAAAAGGTTGATATCTGTGCAAATAAAACAGCATGTATTAAGCATGTTGCCCATATTGGTACCAATTGAAGCAATCCCATAGCTTCTTCCATTTCGATACCATCTGCTACTTCATCTTTCACAAACCTGTAAAAAATGGATTCATTTAAGCTTTTCAAACATACAGGATTTGTGGTGCAATAGGATTTCACATAAAATATGACACGGATAAAAAAAAAAGAAATGATTAATATTGCATGATTCACATCTGAAGGTTGGAAGGGGAAGATGGCTATCATTCTAGGAAGAGATCCAAACAAGTTTGAATTGAGGCATTCCAAATCTTACAAGGATGAAAAGAAAAAAGAGAATCTAATGAAAAAATAAAGGTATAAATAAATCAATTCAACAGAATTTCACTTACATGGTACAATCAAGTCCTGCTCCTTCAGATAATAAATGAGAAGACACCATTCGACCTTTAAATAGAGCAACCAAAGATTTCCCAATTCTAAAGAATGGAGTTTCACCTTCTACTTGGTAGAAGCGAAATGTTTTGGTCCCAAGCAAGAACAAGAGGAGAGCAAGTCCCATGGCAATACATGGTATCCCAAATCCTAGAGCCCAGCTAATATTATCTTGCACGCAATTCAAGATTATAATGGACACTGTCGCGCCCAGGCATAAGCCATAATACGACCAGTTAAAAAATGAGCTCCTTGAGATGTTCTCTTCAGGGTCCTTCTCATCAAACTGATCAGCGCCAAATGCCTGTGTGCAGGGCTTGTGGCCACCTTGACCAAGTGCAGCAAGATACAAAGCAAAGTAGAAGAAGCCAATTTGGAAATGATTTGGACCACACGCCTTGCCATCATTTATGGAACACTTGGGTGGGCGAAGCCTTGGTAGTATAGAGGATAGGGTTAGTAGACCTATGCCCTGTAACGTCATTCATTTTAGTTGGTCAGAATGCAATACATTGAGACAATGTGCATCGACCAAAAGCACTTGGATCTAAGTAGCAAAACATAATATTGGTTTGCACTGTGTAATGTTCCTTTCCTCCTAAAATGCTATATTGGAACAGATCATCTGCAGGTATAGAAAAGGAGACTATTGTAACCCATATAGGTTGTGAAGTTTGGAGCAATGTCATCGTGACGAATGTTGAATGAAAAAGACAAGAATTGCTTGATTCTAATTGTCTATAAACACATGCAGCAGCAAGGCAGCGATTAACTTCTACAGAAAATCAGATTGAAGAGAATTCCAGTTCAAGATTATAAACTATAAAACCAAACGATGCTACAAATGAAGAGGTGATGCATGCTAAAGGGTAAAGATGATTTCGCCTCCAAAATAGTAAAGATAATGCATTTGTATTTATTTTGTTGGTGTTCATATATTCGGAAGGTCAGAAGATGATTAATTTTTCTTTTGCAATTTCAGATGCAAAGACATTTCTTACTGAATAACTTCTACAAATTCAAAGTGACCAAGTACAACACATAGAATTTACATAATTAAATATCTTCTGAAATGTAATAGCTGCAAATATTAAAAAAAATAAATTTCTTTAGATCGGTTCGACGAGACGGTTTCTTCTTAAGAGAAAGGCACCCAATTCAAACAAAAGGAAAGAAACAGTAGAGTGGTAAAAAGACAGAACAGGGAAGAAGAAAAAGTAAGGTACCACACGCCGTGGCGTGAGGCATCGATACAATTTTGGGAACAGAGCTTAGAGCGCTGCGTGCGAACAAACCTACACTGCCACTACCTAAGGTTTACTCTCCACCATCGCCTGCAAACAACTTCTGACATCAGGACCACCATCAACCATCCAGAATTATCCATTAAGTCTATATATACTCTTCCTATAGTCTAATAAAAGCTTGCTGTACTTTTATATTACAATGTATGCTGCTGTTTCTCAATTCTACTGAAATAAAAGAATGGAAACAGATTGCTCATTTCTACATGGTATCAGAAGTTCAGGTTCTTCCTAAATTCTCTAAAATCTCCTTCCTCCTCTATCTCTTCTTTCTCTGTCTACAATGTTAGAAACCTTTTCCTATACAAACTGAGGGTCATAGTAGCCTTTACAGCAATGGTTGATACGCTCACTCCTCTATCCCTCAAGTTCTTGATGTCCAACGTCAAAGCCATCACAAATATCCCAGTAAGAACTGACAACTATCCCACATGGAAACCCCAAATATACAAACCCTTCAAGAAAAATGGATTCGAAAGCTTCCTAGATGGATCAACGATCTACACTCCTCCCCACGTCCGCAACTCGGACGGATAGACAGACAAACCTCCCCAAATCCCCAATACATAAGCTGGCAGTTTATCAGTCAAAACCTCTCGACAACCATCTACTCCACAATATCACCCACAATTCTGCCATACATTCTCAAGCTTTTATCCTTTGCTGAATCTGGACAACTCTCCAATGTAGGATGTAATCTACAAATCGCTCCAGAGTCATCCAATTACGAAACGAGCGTCACCACATCTCAATGAAAGATCAAACCAAGTCCAAATACCTTGTAGTCATCAAATCACTTGTTGATAACATCGCAGCTACAGAAGGTCGTGTTGACAATGAAGATATCATCCTCCATATCCTCAACACACTACCAGCCTCATATCAATCCTTCAGAATAGCTATTAACACAAGACCAGAAATTTAGTAGTTCATGCTTTTTAAATGTTGAACGCAAATAAACAACTTTTTATTTCAAACAAGTACTTGAGGATCCACTAATCTATTTTTAAATGCTTCTTATTTGGCTTACTCATATACTTGTTGACTACAGTGACTGCAAACGTTAAGTTTAGATAAGAATATATCATAACATATATAAGAGATCTCACTGCATTGAAATATAAAACTTGGTACATATATTCAATTTTATCATCTGATTATGGACACAAAATTGATGAATGTCCAAAACGCACGGCTAATAGAGTACTAATAGATTTTTTATTCTGTATATTCAACCTACACAAAACTTTTTCAATGTATCATTTTTTACTTAAACATAACTTACCTATCTTTTTATCTCTATGAATCTCGATGACAAAGATTTTCTTTAAAACTCTAAAATCTTTTATGTCAAACTCAGAGCTCATATGAGCTTTTAAAATTTTAATTTCTCCGTTTTTCTTAACAGCTATCAACATATCATATTAACATATAAGAGCAAGTAAACAAATGGCATCTCAATTTCTTTTGAAGTGGACACAATTATAATAAGCACCCGTAAATTTAAGCTCAAGGTTATGATTAGTCACAATACCAAGTAAAGCTCGAATTAAGCTATGTTTAATCACTTACAGAATACAACTGCAAAGGTTATATTTCAGATTTCACTAAATCCTTTTGCAACTAATCTAACATTGTATCTAACATCTTCAACCCTCGGTAAACTTTATAACTTCTTGTGCACTGGCGAGAATACAACAGTAAAGTTTTCTTTTCATGTAATCCTGAAGTTTACGAACTCCACACTCCAAGATGAGCTCCAATACATCTTTATAGCTCTGATTTTCTCGATTCACCAATTGCTCATACTAAATAATGTGAGAGTTATCATGCATGTAACACAGAAGTAAAGAGACACGAAAAACGTCATACACTTCCTGAACACCTTTAAGGGAGAGCCAAGCAATATGAAACATCACCAATTTTCTTTCATCTCAAAAGCACTAATGAAGTAAGACTGAAGCTTTCCACTCTTGTGACTACACTCATAGATGAAATTTTGAGAAAAACATGATCTGAAATCTTAAATTCAATGTCTATGTGCTTATGGTCAAAATATCTCCTCTAATGATCAATGTAGGCATCCTTTAATCTAATAAACAATTTCCATAGCTTGATCAAATAGTTGATGTCCGAATAATTTCATTTAACCAACCACAAATAACCACAAAGAGGGATCTACACTTTTCCTATACGGTGACAGACTTATGCTAGCCTGAAAAACTATTATTATAAACAAATTAGACTAGTGGAATATAGTTATCCCAACTGCCTCCAAAGTCCAAAATGAAAACTCGCAATATATCTTCTAACATTTGAGTGGTGTGCTCCAACTTCATACCCAAAATTTTTTGCACTTGCTTCCATAATCTGGAAATGAATCTACTCTCTCAATCAGATAACATAATGATTTCATGTAATTGAATATTGTTGTCTATTTAAATCTTAGCTAATTTCTTCACTAAATAATTATGCTTGATCTATAAGAAATAAGCGGACTTAGTGAGTCTATTGATTACACCCCAAATAATATATTGCCCCTGCTTCAATCTAGGTAAGCCAAATAAAAATTCATCATGATATCCTCCCACTTTTATCCTGGAATATGAAGGGACTACAACAAACCATCAGTGGCCTGATGTTCTGCCTTAACTATCTAGCAGGTCAAACAATTGACTACAAACTTAGCTACATCAGTTTTCATACATGCCCACCAAAACTCCTTGAGATCTTGATATCTTGATACATCTTAGTACATTCTAAATGAGTGAACCTTTTAAAATGTGGTTCACACAAGTGCAAGTTTTGATCAAGTAGTACAAGGTTTGAGCTCAAGTGTCAATCCAAAGAGGAATGAGGTCAAACACCTTGATTAGATTAATTACTAGTCCTACTTGATTTAAATTGTATCCAACTATCTCAAGCTTTGAAAATATGCTCAGAATTTTAAAAAGAAAATTATTTTGTGTTTTTTTTCCTCAGTATAGATTTTCCATGAATTAATAAATACTCAAGGTTTTGAAATCTGCAAAAAAGTTTTCTATTTGAAGTTGTCAATCAAAGACAAAACTACTTCTTAATCTTCATCAAAACTTAAGGATTCATATTATCATTTAGTTGTTAAACCCTGCAAAAACCACCAAAATTCCCTTTTCCCAGAAATTGTTCTCTGATAACTATATTTCTATGCTATCTAAGAATTAAATGGTAACACTATTGTTCCACTAATTTTCTGTCGAAATTACTAGATCATAGTAAATATTAACATACACTTAGCCAAAAAATTAAATGAGGCACATAAGTTAACACAACAACAATAGAACAATATTATTTCAAACTACAAGTGGAGATTTGTAATTAAACCATAAGCATCACTAATCAAAGAGATTATGACTTAGTTACTAAACATGTATACAATCATCATTCACAAAATATAAAAATAAATACATAGTACAAAAGATGCACTGAAAGCACTCGAAACTCGCCCTTGAGTAAGCTTTTCCACAAACCTTTCTCTTCTCGATCCATTGACAAGACTTCTCCACTCACTCTCATTCTCCCACACTCATTCCTCAAGCCACTTTCCAAGTCCCTTTTTTTACTTAAACTCTCCAACTCCACTCTAATACTCCTTACTACCCTTAGCCGTACCAAACTGACTCATAATTGCCCTAAAATCGTGTTGAAATGGAAGAAAAACTACTTTGACAGATTAAAGGGCCGCGGTGCTCTACTTTGGCATTGTGACACCAAAAAATCAAATCGCAGCAGCATGCACTTAGGTTGTTGTTTCCATATTATTTAAAATCTGGCACTACGACGCTATAGTGTTGGAGTTGCTTTAATGAGCTATGAATTGGCGCTACAACACCATTCTCTCGGATTCTTGTGCTCCTTTTGCATGCTTCAACATTGGGGCTCTGTGCATATCGCAATGCGATCCTCCAACTCAGGGTGCGTTTGGGGCAGAGTCCGGGTCGCGGCGCGATAGCTGGCCGCTATTTACGGTCGTTTGAGACGGTGTCTGGGCTGCCCCGTCCCGCAGTTTTGATTAAACGCGGGCCAAAGGTTTGACCTCGCGGCCCGTGTTCGAGGAGTGAGTTTTTACGCATTACCCTCGTGTTTTTACTCAGTCCTTCGGCCCTCGCTGCCCTAATTCCCTCGTCGC